GACTGAGATAAAGAAGAAAATGAAATATTAAAATCATGATGTATCTCGCTGCATTGCGCGAGTACCCTTCTAGTGATTTATAATTTATTGTTATTTTCGTTCATATTATATAAAACTTATTATTATTTTTGTCCCTATGGTTTACAAGTCTTTTGTACTTTTGTCCCTCAAACTTAAAAGGAGGATTGAGAAGTTAAGCTTAAGGACTAAAATAGCAATAAATTGTAAATCGTATAAACTAAAATCATAATTTTAGAACTATAGAAATGAAAATCATTAATTTTGATAAATCACATAGAATTTCCTCTTTTTTAAACAATACATAATGAATTATAGTGGTTTCCTTTTAAATTTTTGATTTGATCCCAAAAATGAACTATTTATATTAATGGTCCCTAATTTTTGAATTTTATCACTCAAGGTCCCTATTGCTAACATAGTTAGTTAGAAAAGGTTAGAAAGAATAAATCAATCTTTAAGCAAACTACATGGTCCAAAAGATTAATTCACTCTAAAATTAATATTCAAATATTTATTTTCTATAAAAAATCTATATTGAAAATATTTTAAGTATAATTAGGAATGGAAGAAAAAAAATCGAAATCGATGATGAAAACCAAAACATTCGGAACGGGTTCGAGGACATCTTATCGGAGACGAATTCGGGGATTTTAACGGGAACGGGGGCGGGGACGGTGATCACCGGCCCTCCCCGATATGTGTGTATATATATATATATATATTAATTTTAATTTATATACATACATACATATATAATAGATTAATATCATTAAAAAAATAGTAACATTAAAATTTAAAAGACTTTTATCCACTTTACCTCAACAACCCAAATAAAGCTCACGAAAAAATCTAGTTATTTGTCTAAAAAAATGATTTTGGTTGTATGATGTTTGAATTTCTGTTTAACTTTATATTGTAATCTAATACATTGTTTGTAATTGGTTCGATTATGTTTGAAACATTTAAACTTACATCTTTAAAAAAAATTATAATTTACTTTTAATTGTGAAAATTAGCATATTGTAATTTTTTCCAGATCGGTTTCGGGTTCGGTTATAACCAACGGTGAGGAAGAGGATTTTTACTCTTAACGGGTTCCCCAACGAGGATTGGAGAAACTGCCGGGACCCGGTGGGGATCCCCGATAAAATCGTCGACGGGGATCAGGACGGTTTTAGCTATCGATTTCGGGGACGGGGATATCAATACTTGGCCCAAACCCGGCCCGTTGCCATTCCTAAGTATAGTTATTCTCAATTTAATTGTAGTAGTTTATTCTCAATTATTTGATAATAGGTTACAGTATTTTAACTTTTAAACCAAGATTATCTTTTTCATAACATAAAATTATTTATCTTAACGAATAAATATGAATCACAATTAATTTTAGAGTGAATTACACACTCTTGATCTTTGTAATTTGTTCAAAGACTCATTTATCTCTCCTAACGGTTGGTAGGTGATGGTATTAACTCTAAGAATCTTGATTGTTATGATATTGAAAAGTTGGGGACATCAATGTTAATAGTTCATTTTAGAGACTAAATTCAAAGTTTAAACAAACCACAGGACACTCAGTAAAACACAAAGTCTTTAATTAAAAAAGAGAAAATTACACCGTCGGTCCCTATGATTTGTTCAGAATTTGGATATGTTCTCTATTTTGAAATAAATACACTGCAGGTCCCCATGGTTTGCATTGTGTTTTGAGTTGGGTCCTTTGTACTAAGAGAGTTAACTAAGGGGCAATTTGATCATTTCAAGTATCAATTGAAAGATATGTTCAAAACCAAAGTCAGATTATGCCACGTGTCTTTATATACATATATATATATATATATATGTATATATATATATTAATATTATATGTAAATCCTCACCCATCTTCTTCATCCACATTCCACTTGAAGGGATCCCAACCCCATCTTCATCTCAGCGACCATTTAATATATATATATATATATATCTCACACACAGACCTATATATATACATATACACGACTATGGCAACACATCTCATGTTCTACGATTGAAAACCCTACTTCCATGGTTCCATCTCG